TCCACCCCTCTGAAAGCATGCTGGTTAGGGCATTCTGGAAGTTGGAATCTAACCAGCTTAAAGCATGCTGGCTGGGGAATTCTGGGAGTTGAAGTCCACCTATCTTAAATAAAGTTGGCTGGGGAATTCTGGGAGCTGAAGTCCATTTATCTTCAATCAAGCCAGCTAGGGAATTCTGGGAGTTGAAGTCCAGACATCTTAAAGCATGCTGGCCGGGGAATTCTGGGAGCTGAACTCCACCCATCTTAAAGCATGCTGGCTGGGGCATGCTGGGAGTTGAAGTCCACCCCTCTTAAAGCATGCTGCCTGGGGAATTCTGGGAGTTGAAGTCCACCTATCTTAAATAAAGCTGGCTGAGGAATTCTGAGAGTTGAACTCCATCCACTTTAGAACATGCTGGCTGGGGGATTCTGGGAGTTGAAGTCCACCCCTCTTAAAGCATGCTGGCTGAGGAATTCTGGGAATGGAACTCCACCCATCTTAAAACACGCTGGCTGAGGAATTCTGGGAGTTGAAGCCCACCCACTTTAGAACATGCTGACTGGGGAATTCTGGAAGTTGAAGTCCACCCATCTTAAAACACACTGGCTGGGGAATTCTGGGAACTGAAGTTCTCCCCGTCTCAAAATGGCTAAGCTTGTGAAACACAGTACTACAGAGTTTGTAAGAGTACAAATTTTGCTTCTGGTGAGCATCAGGGAAAACAGGCGGGCTGTTACAGAAGCTGAGGTGACCAGGCACGTCTCACCTGTATCCTGTAAAAGACGGGACGTATTTCTGAAAGACGGACTTAAAGCGGCTGGGGTTGGCGGCCTCGCTGGTATCGGGATGCCACAGCGTGGCTATGACGTCTGCCAAGGCTGGAAAGAAGAAGGGGACACACACACACACACACACCGGTCAGTTTCCCCGCCTTCTCATTCCAACTATCAGCAGTTTGCCCAAAAACTCACACTGTGGATTTTTCTATTTTTATGCATAATTCACTAGGTCAATAAGTTAATAGACTAAGTCAGGGGTAGGCAACCTCGGCTCTTTTATGACTCGTGGACTTCGACTCCCAGAATTCCTGAGTCAGCACAGCACAGCTGACTCAGGAATTCTGGGAGTTGAAGTCCACGAGTCATAAAAGAGCCGTGGTTGCCTATCCCTGGACTAAGTACATTCTATTGAGGATTAATTCCTAAAGCCTCTGCAGTTTGCAGAGAGAACGAGGAGGAGGAGGAGGAGGAGGGGAAGGAGGAGGACTGTGGAGTCCTGGGTGCTCTCTGAGCTGGGTTATTTTCTTGCAGACATTTCATGACCCAACTAGGTAACGTCATCAGTGCTAGGCGGGAGTAGGGTTGTATTATATATAAACAGAGAGCAAACCCCACTCCCTTCTAGCACTGAAGATGTTACCTAGTTGGGTCATGAAATGTCTGCAAGAAAACCACCCAGCTCAGAGAGCGTCAAGGACCCTACAGCTCTCCTCCTCCTCCTCCTCCCTTCTAGCACTGATGATGTTACCTAGTTGGGTCACGAAACGTCTACAAGAAAACCACCAAGCTCAGAGAGCACCGAGGCCTCCTGAAAATATTCTGTATCAAGGAATATAATATTCCCCCCTACCCCCCCCCCAAGTGGTTTAATTCATGGCTGAGATATTCTGGGGTTTTTCCTTTCGCTGTGGCTGTTTGTATCAGTGAACTGGGTGGCAGAGAAATGCCATAAGTAAAGGAGATAAATCGTCCCCACGAGCAGACCCACGGGCTCGGTGACCCTCTGCGCGCAAACACGGCTGGGCAAGCACGCGCAGAGCGCAACGCCGTGGAATCCCGAGCTTCTCTCTGGGCTGTTTAGATGCTTGGTGGGGAGGTGGCTCTCCAATTTACAACCGGGAGGCTAAAAACAGCCCCTGGGGTGACCGAGGGACAGGATTGCCCTGGCATTAAGGCCGCTAATTATACCCTTAAGACCGGCGTGCTTATATAATCGTGGCCTGCAAGGCACGGATTAAGCTTCTCGGGAGACCAGTTAAGCTCTGTGGGTGGAGGCAAGCTAGTTAAGTCAACTCCTTGTATTTACAAGGGGGAGAAAGAGGGCGGGGAGGGGGGGGGACTCTGTTTGCCACTCTCCCTTCTTTACCTTCTGTCAGTTCCTGCTGGGTCCGGAGCGTGCACGGTTGCTCCTGCCGAAATTCCCGACGGAGGCAGTAGTCCCGTAAGGGCTTGGTGCTGCTCAGGCATTGTAGCACCGCGTTCATGAAGCACTAGGAGGGAGAAAGAGGGCCAGGTGAGGCCTCCAACTGCAGCCCAATTGGACTGGAAAGCTATGGCCAATCTAGACAGCATACTCAAAAGCAGAGACATCATAAGTGCGTAGGGTCAAGGCCATGGTTTTCCCAGTTGCAATGTATGGATGTGAAAGTTGGACCCTAAGAAAGGCTGAGCGCCAAAGAATGGAGGCCTTTGAACTCTGGTGCTGGAGAAGACTCCTGAGTCCCCTGGACTGCAAGGCAATCAAACCGGTCAGTCCTAGAGGAGATCAACCCTGACTGCTCTTTAGAAGGCCAGATCCTGAAGTTGAAACTCAAGTCCTTTGGCCACCTAATGAGAAGGAAGGACTCCCTGGAGAAGAGCCTGATGCTGGGAAAGATGGAGGGCAAGAGAAGAAGGGGACGACAGAGAATGAGGTGGCTGGATGGAGTCACTGAAGCAGCAGGTGTGAGCTTCAATGGACTCCAGAAGATGGTAGAGGACAGGAAGGCCTGGAGGAACGTGGTCCGTGGGGTCGCGATGGGTGGGACACGACTTCGCAACTAACAACAACAACAAACGGTGGGAAAAATACTCTCCTGAGTGTCACCCTCTCACCTGCCCTTCCCTCGGCTGCCCGCAAAAGGGGGAAGGAGCCAAGCCCTGAATGCCAAGCCACCATCCCCAGGCCAGGATGGGCAAATTCGTTAAGGAGGCTCCTTGGTGCTGCTTTGCAGGCGGTCCTCGGCTTAACGACCCCAAGGTTTCTGTTGCTAAGCGAGACGGTCTTTAAGCCAGCTTTGCCCGTTGCGCTTGTTAAGCTAGGAAGACGGAGCGGGGGGGGGGGAACACACTCCTCGCATCTTGCTTACCGTGTTGCCAAGGTTGCGTAGACCTATGTGCCCAGAGCCTAGCAGGAGTGTGTGATGTGTCTAAAGGAAACAAAAACAAGAGAAAATGAATAGATGACAAGCTTGTTGTGACAGCTTGTATAACAAGGTAGTTTGATTCACCACATTACGTGGACTAAATTCCTATGTATGAATAGACAAAGAGGACGGCCCACGACGGGTGAATGTAGCTTGTTTGAAGATGCCCTACATCCCACTCTGGGATGCTCACCGTTGCCAGCCCCCTAATTGTCCCTTGCTGAAGCTGCCTCAAATAAAACAGAGGAACAGGATATCACGGGTTGGAAGGGACCTTGGAGGTCTTCTAGTCCAACCCCCTGCTCAAGCAAGAAACCCTATCCCATTTCATGGTTCTCCAATCTCTTCATGAAAACCTCCATGTGATGAAGGAAGGAAGTAAAGAAGGAAGGAAGGAAGGAAGGAAGGAAGGAAGGAAGGAAGGAAGGAAGGAAGGAAGGAAGGAAAGAAAGAAAGAAAGAAAGAAAGAAAGAAAGAAAGAAAGAAAGAAAGAAAGAAAGAAAGAAAGAAAGAAAGAAAGAAAGAAAGAAAGAACAGAGTTGGAAGGGGCTTTTGAGGTCTTCTAGTCCAACCCCTGTTCAGGTAGGAGACCCTATACTATTCTGTACAAATTATTGTCCCATCTCTTCTTAAAAACCTCCAGTGTTGGAGCACCCACAACTTCTGGAGGCAAGCAGTTCCACTGGTTAATTGTTCTCACTGTCAGGACATTTCTCCTTAGTTCCAGGTTGCTTCTCTCCTTGTTTAGTTTCCCTTTGTTGCTTCTTGTCCGGCCTTCAGGGGCTTTGGAGAAGAGCTTGACCCCCCCTCTTCTTTGGGGCAGCCCCTCAAATATTGGAAGGCTGCTATCATGTCGCCCCTCGTCCTTTTCTTCATCAAACTAGGCACCTGTCCCTGCAGCGTCCTGTTGCGACTCTCCACCCACCCACCCTAAAAGCCATCAAGCAAACAGCAGCAGCTTCAAGTTCAAGTTTGAAGTGACAACGGCAGTTCACACAACCAAGTTCAGAGAACACCAAGGATCTGTAGTTTTTTCCCTCCTCCTTGTCCACTCGACCAATCCCACTCCCTTCTAGCACTGATGATGTTACCTAGTTTGGTACTGAGACATCTGCAAGCAAACAACCCAGCTCAGAGAACACCAAGGACCCCACAATCCTCCTCCTCCTCCTCTCCACAAATCCCTTTCCTTCTAGCACTGATGAGGTTACCTAGTTGGGTCCTGAGACGTCTGCGAGAAAACCACCCAGCTCAGAGAGCACCAAGGACCCCACAGTCCTCCTCCTCCTCCTCCTAGCACTGATGATGTTACCTAGTTGGGTCATAAGACGTCTGCAAGCAAACAGCCAAGCTCAGAGAGCACCAAGGACCCCACAGTCCTCTTCTTTCCCCACTCTGCAAACCCCTCTCCCTTCTACCACTGATGATGTTACCTAGTTGGGTCATGAAATGTCTGCAAGAAAACCACCAAGCTCAGAGACCACCATGGACCCCACAGTCCTCCTCCTCCTCCTTCTCCCTTCTAGCACTGATGATGTTACCTAGTTGGGTCATGAGACGCCTGCAAGCAAACAGCCAAGCTCAGAGAGCACCAAGGACCCCACAGTCCTCTCCACAACCCCTCTTCCCTTCTAGCACTGATGATGTTCCCTAGCTGGGTCATGAGACGTCTGCAAGAAAACCACCCAGCTCAGAGAGCACCAAAGACCCCCCAGTTCTCCTCCTCCTCCTCTTCCCAAATCCCTTTCCTTCTAGCACTGATGATGCTACCTAGTTGGGTCATGAGACGCCTGCAAACAAACAGCCAAGCTCAGAGAGCACCAAGGACCCCACAGTTGAATCCTGAACTACAAAGAGTCTCTCCTCGGGGCAGTCCTAGTGTTACCTTGCTGGTCATCAGCAGAAGCCCCATCATCGCCGTATGGACGACCGACTCGGAGATGTCCGTCCCTCGGCCATTCACCTTGCACTTGGCGCAGAGGGTGCGGTGCAGTTTCCGAGGCAGTTCCACCAAGGTGGCACCCTGGACCTCCGGCATGCCTCCGGCCGGCTCCCAGAAGCCGGCTGAAGCTGCTGCCGTGCCTCGCCCCGCTCGGCGCCGAGTGCGAAAGGACCGCCGAGCCCTCCCCGCTGTCTCTCTAAGCCATCAGCTCATGAGCCAATCCCCTTTCGCCCAGCTATTCTTGGCCATCCTGGAGGCTCGCCGCCCTGGGATTAATTAGCCGAGCGTGCTACTTTAGGGACCCGGCGAGGCGGAGGGAACGGCGGAGCCGAAGGGGAGAAAATCAAATCAAATCAAAACAAAGCAGCACAAACAAAACACCGGGAAGGCGATGATGGCAACCAGGATTGCCAATGCTGGGGAATCCACAAAAGAGCTCAAATGAGCCTGGAAGGGCCACAGCCATCGGCTGCCCAACGTTGGGAGACAGGAGTCAAAGCAAGGCTTCTGGTCTCCCCAGGCAATTTGCCCCCAAAGCAGGCAATTTTACAGACGGTCCTCGACTTACGACCGTTCGCTTTAGTGACCGTTCAAATCAGGAAGGCGCTGAAAAAAGCGACTCAGGCTTAAAACCATCCCAGCCTCCCTCTGGTTACACGATCAAAATTGGGGCAGTTGGTAACCAGCAGGCATTTATGACAATTGTTACAGACAGTCCTCAAGTTACAGCAGGTCATTTAGTGACCGTTCCAAGTTACGGCGGCGCTGAAAAAAGGGACAGGGCTGTTTTTCACGCAACTGCTGCAGCAACCCCCGTGGTCCTGGGATTGACGTTCAGCTGCTTGACGACCGGTTTCGTATTTACGGCGGTCGCAGCATCCCGGGATCCCCTTTCGCGATGACCAGCAATGGGGAAGCCAGATTCGCTTAAC